CACGTACATTCACACGTACTGCCACATCACAGGACAAAACAAGACCCATCGTGTAGCCTGAACAGACTGTAGGGGCAAGTGCTGCTAGCGAGCAGCACCTATGCAGGCCGGCACGGCACACGACGGGGTGGATGGGCAGCACCACGCCCGGCCGCCTTTGTCTCCCCAGTGGCGATGTTTACGCACCGGGTACTCATTTGAGGCTGAGTCGACTGCACATCACACACACACACGCACACACATACTGCACATCCTATCCTGTTGTGCCATCCCGTTCGGCCGTGGCTTTGTGAGACCTTTTGCGAGCCCATGAGGCTACCAAATATCCCCCGACAATTCCCCACTGACTCCACCTCCGTGTGTCGTAAAAGGAATAAGAGAGACTCTGGCTGATTCACAAACCCCCCCCCCCTCCATCCCGTCCGGTGCCCTTTAAAATAAAATAAATATCATCCCTTATAAACTCGGACCACAGCAGCAGGCTTAAAGTTCAAGTGAAATCGGATGCTTTTGAAACGATTCGCTGGGCCGTTGTTGCAACGAGACAATTCTCATCTTCAAAGCTCCGTCGTGGCCGGCTGCATGCGCCAAATTGTACAATTTGACGCCAGTTAAAATTTGTTAACTTAACTGCGTGTGTGTGTGTGTGACCCACAGGTGTCTGTGTGTGTGTGTGACCCACAGGTGTGTGTGTGTGTGTGACCCACAGGTGAGTGTGTGTAACCCACAAGTGTTTGTGTGTGTGTGTGTGACCCACAGGTGTCTGTGCGTGTGTGTGTGACCCACAAATGTGTGTGTGTGTGACCCACAGGTGTCTGTGTGTGTGACCCACAGGTGTCTGTGTGTGTGACCCACAGGTGTCTGTGTGTGTGTGACCCACAGGTGTCTGTGTGTGTGTGTGACCCACAGGTGTCTGTGTGTGTGACCCACAGGTGAGTGTGTGTAACCCACAAGTGTCTGTGTGTGACCCACAGGTGTCTGTGCGTGTGTGTGTGACCCACAAGTGTGTGTGTGTGTGTGTGACCCACAGGTGTCTGTGTGTGTGACCCACAGGTGTCTGTGTGTGTGTGTGTGACCCACAGGTGTCTGTGTGTGTGTGACCCACAGGTGTCTGTGTGTGTGTGTGACCCACAGGTGTCTGTGTGTGTGACCCACAGGTGTCTGTGTGTGTGTGTGACCCACAGGTGTCTGTGTGTGTGACCCACAGGTGTATGTGTGTGTGTGTGACCCACAGGTATCTGTGTGTGTGTGTGACCCACAGGTGTCTGTGTGTGTGGCCCACAAGTGTCTGTGTGTGTGTGACCCACAGGTGTGTGTGTGTGTGTGTGTGACCCACAGGTGTGTGTGTGTGTGTGACCCACAGGTGTCTGTGTGTGTGTGTGACCCACAGGTGTCTGTGTGTGTGTGTGACCCACAGGTGTCTGTGTGTGTGTGTGACCCACAGGTGTCTGTGTGTGTGTGTGACCCACAGGTGTCTGTGTGTGTGGCCCACAAGTGTCTGTGTGTGTGTGACCCACAGGTGTGTGTGTGACCCACAGGTGTCTGTGTGTGTGTGTGACCCACAGGTGTGTGTGTGTGTGTGACCCACAGGTGTGTGTGTGTGTGTGACCCACAGGTGTGTGTGTGTGTGACCCACAGGTGTCTGTGTGTGTGTGTGACCCACAGGTGTGTGTGTGTGTGTGTGTGACCCACAGGTGTCTGTGTGTGTGTGTGACCCACAGGTGTCTGTGTGTGTGGTGTGGCCCACAGGTGTCTGTGTGTGTGTGTGACCCACAGGTGTCTGTGTGTGTGTGGCCCACAAGTGTGTGTGTGTGACCCACAGGTGTCTGTGTGTGTGTGTGGCCCACAAGTGTGTGTGTGTGTGACCCACAGGTGTCTGTGTGTGTGTGTGACCCACAGGTGTCTGTGTGTGTGTGTGACCCACAGGTGTATGTGTGTGTGGCCCACAGGTGTCTGTGTGTGTGTGCGACCCACAGGTGTCTGTGTGTGTGACCCACAGGTGTCTGTGTGTGTGTGTGGCCCACAGGTGTCTGTGTGTGTGTGACCTACAGGTGTCTGTGTGTGTGACCCACAGGTTTCTGTGTGTGTGTGTGGCCCACAGGTTTCTGTGTGTGTGTGTGTGTGACCCACAGGTGTCTGTGTGTGTGTGTGTGTGGCCCACAGGTGTCTGTGTGTGTGTGTGGGCCACAGGTGTCTGTGTGAGTGTGTGTGGCCGTGTCGAGGGGCCCACAGGTGTGTGTGTCGAGAGCAAGAGCGAGGTCTGTGTGTGGGGGAGCAGTGTGGGTAACACGCACAAAAACGGTGGCGTGTTTCGCAAAAGTCGGAGCGGGGGGGGGGGGCGGTGGTGGTGGCGGTGGTTTACTGGCGACACCTGGTTTTGGGGAATGTGACCAAAAAAAAGAAACCTGACCTAGATTTTAACAGCGCGCGGTAAAAAGAAAGCGAGCCGCGTCGTTCGAATCCACATCCACCAATAAAACGCGCAGGGCTCTGGCGCTGCGGTAGCGCCTATTTAGTTTCGCCGTACGTCGCAAACATTTCTCTCTGTGTTCCACCGCCACCACCACCACCCCCTCCCCATAGCACGGCTCCCTACCCCCATTACATTTGACCGGATTCTTCGGATTATAAGACGCCACGCAACGTAAGACAGACGACGCACGCCCCCAAAACCCGTGCCGGTGTCCAGAACGCTGCACAGAGGTGGTCACGCACACTCGCACACGCCTCCCGGATTACAATACGCAGCCCCCCAATGTTTGCTTTATGAATGTTTGCATTGCCAGGTAAGGCCCACTGATACGTAGGTTTTTTTCAGGAGCGATCTGGCCTTAATTCTTTGTAGCTCAACGAAGTGGCTTATTGTCACCGTGTGGACATTTATGGCAGCCAAATAGTCCAAACGCGTGACGTTGATTCTAAATGTGGAGGGCGAAAACCCGGAGAACCGGGAGACAAACTCACGCGACCACGGGGAGAGAGAGAGAGAGACCGCAAACTCCAAATATACAGCAGCAGGCGTCAGGGTTGGGATCGAGCCCACGACCTCCTATAGACCAGGCGAGATAGTTAACATCTCCTAGCCACCGTGATGATGATGAGAGAGAGAGAGACACGCAACCTCCAAATATAGAGCAGGCGTCAGGGTCGGGATCGAGCCCACGACCTCCTGCACACCAGGCGGGGAGTTAACGTCTCGACAAATGTTCCTAAACTCCCTTCCCGTGAGCGTGGTGGGAGGTGCCCCATCCTGGTGGGAGGTGCCGCATCCTGGTGGGAGGTGTCCCACCCTGGGGCAGCTCCCACTACGCCCAAATCGAGAATGCGGTAACGGCAACGAGTTGGCTAATCTCCATCTGTCCCTTCTGTATATGATGGGATCGAGTGCTGCCCCCTCGCACAGAGTCTTGGTCCTCCGTGCAGCAACAGCGTCGAGGCCCCTAAGCAGCCCCTTCCGAGCCTCTTCGCCACAGACACATATGCAAAAAGAGCGTCATAGTTCATCGGATTTTTCGAGTATAAACACAGATGCTGATTCTGAAAAAACATTGGACTCCCGTTTCTCCGCTCCTTCTCCATCCGTTTCCTCTCATTCCCCACTCTCTCCCTCATTCCCCACTCTCCCTCATTCCCCACTCGCTCTCTTTCATTCCCCACTCTCTCTCTCATTCCCCACTCGCTCTCTTTCATTCCCCACTCTCTCTCATTACCCACTCGCTCTCTTTCATTCCCCACTCTCTCTCATTCCCCACTCTCTCCCTCATTCCCCACTCTCCCTCATTCCCCATTCGCTCTCTTTCATTCCCCCCTCTCTCTCTCATTCCCCACTCGCTCTCTTTCATTCCCCACTCTCTCTCATTCCCCACTCGCTCTCTTTCATTCCCCACTCTCTCTCTCATTCCCCACTTGCTTTCATTCCACACTCTCTCTTTCATTCCCCACTCGCTCTCTTTCATTCTCCACTCGCTCTCTTTCATTCCCCACTCTCTCTCTCATTCCCCACTCGCTCTCTTTCATTCCCCACTCTCTCTCATTCCCCACTCTCTCTCTCATTCCCCACTCTCTCTCTCATTCCCCACTTGCTTTCATTCCCCACTCTCTCTCATTCCCCGCTCTCTCTCATTCCCCACTTGCTTTTATTCCCCACTCTCTCTCATTCCCCACTCTCTCTCATTCCCCACTCTCTCTCTCATTCCCCAATCTCTCTCATTCCCCACTTTCTCTCTCTCATTCCCCACTCTCTCCCTCATTCCCCACTCTCTCTCATTCCCCACTTGCTTTCATTCCCCACTCTCTCTCATTCCCCACTCTCTCTCTCATTCCCCACTTGCTTTCATTCCCCACTCTCTCTCATTCCCCACTCTCTCTCTCATTCCCCACTTGCTTTCATTCCCCACTCTCTCTCATTCCCCACTCTCTCTCTCATTCCCCACTTGCTTTCATTCCCCACTCTCTCTCATTCCCCACTCTCTCTCTCATTCCCCACTTGCTTTTATTCCCAACTCTCTCTCATTCCCCACTCTCTCTCATTCCCCACTCTCTCTCATTCCCCACTCTCTCTCTCTCCCTCCTCTCGTCCCCCTCCCATCCATTTCTCTTTTTCCCCTACGAATTGTAACCTTACCCCGAACTCCGCTCTCCGTGGAGTGGCTTGCCTCTTAGCGAGTCGCTCGTCGTTTATGATTCGTTTCACTTGTAGATTGAATCCAGTCGAGAATTGTACAAAAAGCGTTGCTTTTAGGGCTACACCATCCCCAGACCTTCCATTAAAATAAAACCCAACACATCGTCTACGTATATTTAATATAAACTTTTAATCCATCGCGATATCACAGCGATAAAATAGAAACTTTGATCTTCTTTGAGATAATATGCGAACACTTTAATTGACATATACAAAACCCTTGCATATATTAAACGTATAGAAAAGAAAGAATAAATCAAGGCAGGTAGTACTGTCTGCCTCGCGCAATATAAACAGTATGTTCTTGGTTCTTTCGGTAAAGTCACGTAGAAGGGAAGTAATAAACGCAAGCAGCCGTGCTTGCGTTGTGGCCGAAACGTCGTGAGAATTGTTTTATTATGTTTTATTTTTATTATTTTATTACTTCCCTTCTACGTGACTTTACCGAAAGAACCAAGAAGATGAATCCCTGCAGTCACGAAAGCTTTAAATCGAAAAATAAACAGTATGGTCTGCGAAAGGGGCCGATAATACTCACAGATGCTGTAAGTGAATGCTAGTCAGTATCTGTAAACGCGGCGTAAAGAAAACAACAACAAAACCGGAGTAAATAAATACCTGCTTTTACTAAACCGTACAATGTTGATACTAACAAAAAACACCCGCAAAGTACTTCTGCATTGTGAAAATGGAACCACGCGGACGGATGGCTCCACCACAAATAGTCAGACGCGAGGATGTCGCCGGCCAAACGGGAGACGGCGCAAAGCGTCGCACATCCGACCCGACGCCGATGAAGCGCCCACGCGCAACCTCGATCTGACGCCCGCCGGTGCGGCGCTTTGCTCGTCGCTGCTGCGTGTCGACGCGCTGTCGACGCGCATCAGCGATGGTCGCGCACGCGGCAAAGCGCCCCTCGCCTCGAGAGCGTCCGCTCGCCTCGGTAGCACGGCCGCGTGCTCGACGCAATGCATTGTTGTACAGGCGTTCACTTATGTAACCTTTTCACATGCCCACATGTGCCGAATACCTCTAACCCAGTACCTAATAACAGTACCTATACCCGTTATCTATACCCCAGTACCTATACCCCAGTGCCTATACCCCAGTACCTATACCCGTTACCTATACCCCAGTACCTATACCCCAGTACCTTTACCCCAGTACCTATACCCCAGTACCTATACCCCAGTACCTATACCCATTACCTATACCCCAGTACCTATACCCCAGTACCTATACCCCAGTACCTATACCCCAGTACCTATACCCCAGTACCTATACCCATTACCTATACCCCAGTACCTATACCCCAGTACCTATACCCCAGTACCTATACCCCAGTATGTATAGCCAGTATTTGTACCTTCTTCTTCCACGCGCTTGCCTCACTCATGCCGGGTGTTCCGCTGTCCTTGCCAACCTTCTCCACGCTGCCCTGCCCTGCGCCATCTCTCCTTCCGCTCCTCGGGCGACCATGTCCGATCGGAACCACATCGCCCCACCTCTTCTTCTGACTTCCTCTTGATCTCTTTCCTTCCACTTGCATCACTTGCACCTTCTGACCCACATAATTTCCCCGTTGTCGCTCCACATGACCGAACCACGCCCACAGCCTTTCCTCTCTCATCTGCTCTGTGATTTCTACCACCTTGAGTCTTCCTCTCACTAATCCATTTCTCACCCTGTCCTTGTTAAACCCAACATCCACCGCAACATCCTCATCTCTCTTTCTCGGCCCCATACAACAGCACCGCCCCCACCACCGTGGGGCCCTCTTATCGCACACCACACCGGTCATCTCTCACCATGTCAGCTACCCAGCCCTTGCTGTTGTTCTCATCTCTCGCCATGTCAGCTACCCAGCCCTTGTTCTTGTTGTCATCTCTCACCATGTCAGCTACCCAGCCCTTGCTGCTGTTCTCATCTCTCGCCATGTCAGCTACCCAGCCCTTGCTGTTGTTCTCACCTCTCACCATGTCAGCTACCCAGCCCTTGCTGTTCTTCTCATCTCTCGCCATGTCAGCTACCCAGCCCTTGCTGTTGTTCTCACCTCTCACCATGTCAGCTACCCAGCCCTTGCTGTTGTTCTCATCTCTCACCATGTCAGCTACCCAGCCCTTGCTGTTGTTCTCATCTCTCGCCATGTCAGCTACCCAGCCCTTGCTGTTGTTCTCACCTCTCACCATGTCAGCTACCCAGCCCTTGCTGTTGTTCTCATCTCTCACCATGTCAGCTACCCAGCCCTTGTTCTTGTTCTCATCTCTCGCCATGTCAGCTACCCAGCCCTTGCTCTTGTTCTCATCTCTCCTCCTTCTAGTGATCCTTCAGCACCCACATCGTTCTACCCAGCTACTTAAACTCGTTCGTCTTCATTCACTGGTCACTTCCAATTTGCAATACCCCTCCTGCATTATTTCCACTGACATTTGCCACCATGTACTCCGTCTTTGTCCGACTGATCCTCAACCCATTCACTTCAATCTTTTGCACCCAGATCTTAAAATCATCTTTCACTACTCTCCCTCTGAATATCTCTCATTAGTGTGTCCAGCACCAGGATGAACAGGAAAGAGGCTCGGTGCAACCTCGCTTCACTCCCGTTGTGACTTGAAAGGTCTTCGACACCCCACTGCTGCTTCCCACGTGCATTTTCCCTCCTTCATACACACCCTGGATCAGCTGGACATATACCTCCAGGAATACCTCTTCTCATACACCACCAGATGAGCTCTCTAGCCACCCTGTCGTACGCTTTCTCTAGATCACTAAACACCACATGCAAGTCCCGTTTCTTCTCTCTGAACTTCTCCATCAATGCTCTCAGAGCAAAGATTGCATCCATTGTTGACCTTCCCTGTCTGAATCCAAACTGACTCTCGTCAATATCCACCGCTTCCTCAGTCTCCTTTCTATCATCCTTTCCCAGTACCTAAACCCCAGTATCTATACCCAGCATCTATACCCAGCATCTATACCCAGTACTTATACCCAGTATCTATAACTCAGTATCTATAACTCAGTACCTAACCCCCAGTATCTATACCCAGTATCTATATCCAGCATCTATTCCCAGTACCTATACCCAGCATCTATACCCAGCATCTATACCCAGTACCTATACCCAGTGTCTATAACTCAGTATCTATAACTCAGTACCTAAACCCCAGTACCTATACCCAGTACCTATACCCAGTATCTATACCCAGTATCTATACCCAGTACCTAAACCCAGTACCTATACCCAGTATCTATAACTCAGTATCTTAACCCCAGTATCTATACCCAGTACCTATACCCCATTACTTATACCCAGTACCTAAACCCCAGTACCTATACCCAGTACATATACCCCATTGCCTGTACCCAGTACCTATACCCCATTACCTGTAGCCAGTACCTATACCCATTACCTGTACCCAGTACCTGTACCCAGTACCTATACCCAGTACCTATACCCCATTGCCTGTACCCAGTACCTATACCCCATTACCTGTAGCCAGTACCTATACCCATTACCTGTACCCTTTACCTATACCCAGTACCTATACCCAGTACCTATACCCAGTACCTATACCCCATTACCTTTACCCAGTATAAAGGGAGTCGGATATGCGACCTTATACTCCACGGGGGGTTTGTATTTTCATTTCCAGGTAGGCGGAGTGCCCTCAATTAGCCCCCGGCCGTGACAAAACCTCACGTGGACCAATCACAAGGCGGCGACACGACGGAGAACTTCACGTGGTGGCCGAGGGGCGAGTTTGGCACGCGAACAAAAAACAATTGCCGAATCGACGCCTTTTTACTTAAAAACCAAAGTTTCAAGTTGAGATTTTCTTTGCTTAGCCAGCTGGTGAGACAACTCCAGAGACCAGGATGAGCATCATGCCTGCAGTGACCTGGGGCCGTGAGTCTGCGAGTAGGGGGCGATGATCGCCGCCGCCGCCGCCGCCGCTGCTGCTGCTGTGTATTATTATCAAGTTACACGACGCTGGGTTTAAGTGCGTGCCTATACAGGTCACCATACGTCGATGGTGATTAACTGTGAGCAGCCAATAGCACGTATTGCGATTGTTGGACTCAAAGACGGCAGGATGTACATACATCATACACAATGCACATTATGTGTGTGGGTTAAATGTGAATAACCCAACCAATAATAGATATCCGTAGTAATTTATATGAATACATTTAACACCCCCCACCCAGCTCTTCGCACTTGCTTGGCTCACAAGTGACGTCATCACACCCCCTGTCTATTTAAGACCAAAACAGGAGGAGGATTTCTCCACAACTCTGGCTGTCGCCTGATGATGCTGCCCGTTGTTGTCATTACCAGCGAAACGTCACGGCACTCAAATGGTAAATGCTGTAGTGGGTTTACTCTCCAACACACACCGGTGTGCCGAGCTGGTAACTAATTGGCATGTTTTGTTTACATGGCACACCTTACTGATTGGCTGTGTGGGGTGGTGGGGGGTTCACCGACACATTTATATTTACGCGATCGAACCCAAAAAAGAACCTCTCATGGATAATATTGGTCGTGAAAGCCTGCTACTACGTGTTAAACTTTATAATCCCCAATTTAGTAACTTGCGGCGTCACTTGTCGAATTGGGACCCTGGGTAGTAGGTGCAACATACTCGGCCATGATGATTTCTGCCAAACGCACGAATCAGGCCTCACAATTCCTAATGCCGTATCGAGCGATGTGAAGTGAACGCACGGGGAGAGAGTCGTGTTCTCTGAAACTAGGCCGCTTTATTTCGCAAGCTTCACCTGTTTCAGGGTTACTCGAGTAGTGTGGATTTTTATACACAGGAGGTCGTGGGTTCGATCCCGACCCTGACGCCTGCTGCATAGTTGTAGTTTGCACGTCTCTCTCCCCGTGGTCACGTAGGTTTGTTCTCCCGGTCCTCCGGTTTTTTCTCCACGTTTAGAACCAACATCACGCGTTTAGAGTATTTGGCTGCGATGCATTCCCACGTGATGATGATGATGAGCCATTTCGTTGAGCTCTCGTTTGTGTTGACCAGGTCGCTTCTGAAGAAGAGCTACACAGCTCAGTGGAGCCTGACCTGGTACAATGAAATACAAATTATAAGTTTTTATACACAGTAGCGGTTGCACGGCGGGTACGAGAGACCATCCATGCAAACAACAAGACGTCCAAAACGGGGGTGACTGTGGGTGAGTCTGTGTGCCTGAGGGGGTGACTGTGGGTACGTTTGCCTGAGAGGGTGACTGCGTGCGTGCGTGCGTCCGTGCGTAGGAGTCCAATATTCACAATGTGTGTGTGCCAAGTTGATGTTTTATACAGGATACGTCATAATAATAATGAAGATGATAATGATGAAGATAATGTTCAGCGCTTTGGGATGAATGGCTTCCGCACACCCGAGTCGGTCATAGGGGTCGTTTGTCCGCGTTTCACCACTTCTGGTCAGTGCGGTATTGGCGAGTTGAAGTCGGTCAATTCGCCTTGACCCCGGGCATCAATCTCAGGTTGCTGGATTCATAGCACGGTGTGCCAACCACTGTGCCACCGCTCCACGCCGCCATCCCTCGGCAGGATATGAATGTATTTAAACAAGAGGCATTCAATAAGTTGTGAGAACAGGTCGTGACTTGACGCACGTACATACCCCACGGTTAACTGTGTACAGCATGGTAACGCAATCGCGCACGTCACCGTTGTGTTTGGGACATAAATAGAGGGGGTCTTGTAAATGAAGCTTACAAATACCGTGCTTCTCATTCTCCATATTGTTGACTGCCCCTTGTACAGAGTAAGGGGTGGCAAAGTATTTTTTTTATTTTTGCTATTTACATATTTATTTGATTTTACCATGTAAGGCCCACTCAGCTGTTTATCCCTTTTTCAGAAGCGACCTGGCCACAAATGATAGCTCAACGAAGTGACCTATCAGGTGGGAATTTATAAAAGCCAAATCCTCTGTACTCGTGATGTTCATTCTCAACGTGGAGGGAAAAAACCCGAGGACACGGATCAAAATCCACGTGGCCATTGGTGGAGAGACGCGCAAACTGCAAATATACAGCAGCAGGTGTCAGGGTCGGGATCGAACACACGACCTCCTGCACACCAGGCGATGGAGATAACATCTCGCCACCGTGGCGCCCAAGGCGCTGCCCTGCAATTGCCTGCTCAGACCACTGCTGGTGGAAGGGTCTCTCCGCTAGTGGGAGCTCCAGAGAAACGCCTCTCAAGGGTCCTGCTCCCACGCTACCGCAGCGGCCAGACGATTTGAAAGAGGTGGGGGAGTTACCCACACTGTACCCCACCGCCTACTGCTGGCTGGGGTGGGCGAGGAAGGGATTTAAGAAACTTGTCGTACACAGTATATACCGTCTCCTACATACTGTTAGTTAGCATGCATACAATTACATATAGACACATTGTGTATTTGAAACGGCTGTTGCCATGCAGGAATTTTATACTTTCCAAGATTAAATTCGGCTCGATAAGTTAAGAATGTGAGCGACAAAAAATGTTTGTACAACGATCCCTTCCATATTGCAAACCGCAGCTCACCGATAGCTCAATCACAACGTGCCCACGACGGATCCCGATTGAGCCCCGTGACGATGGTTTTCCCGTTTGTTCTTGAAAAGACAAAAACACTTTTAAGCGTCCAGGAGTGTCTCCCTGCTCGAGCAGACGAGCAAGATGGTGGGGCCCGTCACATCAATTGGTGGCCCTGAGCCAGTGGACTAAATTCAACATTTCCATGCCAGGAGGAGGTGGGGGGGGGGGGGCATCAGTCTCTCCACGGGACTACCCGTTTGTTGACTTCCCACAAAGCGGTACTCATTTTAATAAGCCTGGAAGGATGATGATGATGATGTTGGGCTTCTGACGACCCCCGACCTCGGTGTTTGACCTCGCGAGTAAGTCGCTCTCCACCCGCCGCAGCGCCGCGCAAGTCCAACCGCGTTTCACAGTCTGACGGACGAAAAAAAATATCGACAGCGGGTGACGCCTCTCCCTCGTACACAGCGGCGACTGGAAAAACGTCGACCGACCGCTTGCAGCCGACCGGCTCGGCGCTCTCCCCCATGGGCGACGTCGCCAACAGCAGCTCGCGACAGAACGGCCGTCTACCATCTGCCGACGGTCGCCAGAGCGAAGCTGTCGCGAGTGTCCCCGGGCACCTGGCGGAAGTGGCGGCGGCGTCGCAAACGCCTCGCCGCAAGTGAACGCCGTTCGCGCTGCCTCACAGCGGGCAATGTGTTCGTCGCAACCGGGTTCCTCGATTGCGCACCGAATATCTGCCGGTGGGTCGCCGGTAGACCGGAGCAGTAGGTGGGTAGCCACGGCCGTAGCAAGAGAGATATATAGATACTGGATGTGGTGTGCCGGGTGGGGAAATATTTTATGGGTCGCTAATCCCCGGACAGATCCGGGCTGAAGTTAAGCCCCCAATGGCCGTTTCAAGTGTTTGGAATGGAGGCCCTCTCCGGAGCAGAGAGAGAGAGGGGCGGGGAGGGGGGCGCCAGCTCATGACTGAACGACTCACAGTTGGAGAAGGCATTTCACAACGTGGTGCCTTCAGAACGCCGGGGGGCAGCCGGAGGTAGCCGACGGCTGGTGTTGGTTGATATCCTGGCCCCTTCAGATGTTGGCTTTTGGCGACACCAAAAAAGGCAAGGCAGTAGCTGCTGCCAGTTTATAGACCAATCAACTTTCTCAGTCGAGTTGCAACAACAACAAAAAACAGTGCCACAAATAATAGCGACGATAATTACAATAATAATAATACAGGCGACGGTAACCTGAGCCTTTCTGTTGTTGCGATAACACCGGGGGCTTCAATTTCTTGCTGAATATCTTCCGGGTCACTAGTAGACTGGAGTAGCAGGTGGCACGTGACTGGTAGCCGATGGATGTGGTGTGCCGGGTGTAGAAATCTTGTCCGAGTCGCTGCTAGCCCGGAGCTGCAGGTGGCACGTGACTGGTAGCCGATGGATGTGGTGTGCCGGGTGTAGAAATCTTGTCCGAGTCGCTGCTAGCCCGGAGCTGCAGGTGGCACGTGACTGGTAGCCGATGGATGTGGTGTACCAGGTGTAGAAATCTTGTCCGAGTCGCTGCTAGCCCGGAGCTGCAGGTGGCACGTGACTGGTAGCCAATGGATGTGGTGTACCGGGTGTAGAAATCTTGTCCGAGTCGCTGCTAGCCCGGAGCTGCAGGTGGCACGTGACTGGTAGCCAATGGATGTGGTGTACCGGGTGTAGAAATCTTGTCCGAGTCGCTGCTAGCCCGGAGCTGCAGGTGGCACGTGACTGGTAGCCGATGGATGTGGTGTACCGGGTGTAGAAATCTTGTCCGAGTCGCTGCTAGCCCGGAGCTGCAGGTGGCACGCGACGAGTAGCAGCCAGTCCGCAGCTGAAGCCACGCGCCGGGCTCGTGGCTGACGCCGAGTGGGGGTTTGCGTGCGGGCCGGCTGCATTATTGACGTCCGGCCCGTCGAGAGAGAAGGCGTTGGGGTTCTGGCGACGTGGAGACGCCGGGGCGGGAGGGCGCTGGGGCCACGGCGTCGCTCGGCCAAACCGGGGCGGCCGTAGGGGCCGTGGGGCCGTGGGGGCCGTGGGAGCCGTGGGGGCCGTGCCGGCTACTTGCAGACGAATCGGTCGACGATCTCTGTGCACATCCTGCACTTGACGTAGCAGCACCAGTGGAACTTGCAGTGGCATCGCTCTACCACCGTGGCTGGGGAGGAGGGGAATGCAGCGGGCGTGAGGCGAAACGTCAGACATCGTGCCGGGCGAACGTGTGGTACCGACCCCCGAACGCACGCCGGAGAGATAATTTGTTGTTGTTGTTGTCATTATATGTCCCCAATTTTTATCCCAATTCATGCGATCACCGTTACGTCACCAGATGAAGAATCCGTATGGGAGCGAGATAAGTTTAAGCTTCTGCAGCTAGCCGAGTGGCTTGGCTGAATCGTAGTGGCTGTGTCAGGGTCAATGAGCCGGCACCTTTTGGATCATGGGCTCGAAGTCGAGTTTCAGCCGCACCATATTTGAACAAAAAATTAACTTTCCCTTATTCCAGAAATTTGCTTACACTCAAATGCGACAGAGACAGCGAAGGGAAAATGCAAGGATTTTGTCACCTTTGTAGTGGTCGTATCCTCTGCCACAGCACATGAGCTCGCAACCGTCGGTGCCCTCGGACGTGCGGTTGCACTGGCGCGCCACCGTGCCGGCGATGCCGCGCGTCTCGTCGTACGTGCAGTAGTCGGGGCTCGCGTCCAAGTAGACGAGGTCGTCCTGCGTGGGCGGCGTGAAGCGCCCGTTCACGGGCTCCAGCTGCGGAGACGACCGCCCGCCGCCGCCGCCGCCACCGGCGCCACCAGCGGCACCAGCGCCACCGCTCCCTTTGCGGCTCACCAGCCTCATGGCAGCACCTCCGTCGTACTTTTCCTGCAGGCGCCACCACGGTCGTCGTCGTCGTTATCGTCGTCATCATCATCGTCGTCATAGCGCGTGACAGGTGAGGAGGAGCCGAGTGGTTATTGAGTTCATCTGGGGCCCCCCGAGCTGCTTGGGACCCTGGCGTGTGTTTGCTCGGTTTGCTTGGGCCTAGCGCCACCACTAGGCTATGGTTGCAGGGGCCCTCCCGGCGAATGCGTCCCGGTGGCGATCGGCTCCATCACAGACATGACAGTGGCCCATTGTTTTCTATTGGAAGTTGCGTGCCCAGTGTGTAGAGCGAGGCCTACTGCAGGCTGTGCACCAGCGGTGTTCAGCGACGTCATCTCCCTGGGATTATTCCTTTGACACAGGTTGATGCACTGCTAGCTGCAGCGTTCAGAATCAGAATCAGAAACGGTTTTAATCGCCATGTAAGTTTGCACAAACAAGGAATTCACTATGGCGGGACGGTGCATACATTGAACAAGTAGGAATCTTAACTTATATAAAAGGTATACACTCTAACTATACTAACGTTACAAAGTATAAGTAATACCAAAGGGCTAAAATCTTTAAAATTATGAATAAGTAGACCTTATAAAATGCGAATGTAAAATGTTAATTAGCCGTATTAAACAATCTTAAAATACAAAAATACAAATAAGATTACACGTTGTAAGTATGGAAAGGTGTAATTATGTAGATAAAATGTTATAGTAAGTGTAACAGTCATTTTAAGTGTAAAAGTCATTTTAAGCCCTTGGCCTTGTTGAGGAGGCCAACAGCAGATGGGAAAAAACTGTTTTTATGACGTGAGGTTTTGGTCTTGATGGACCGCAGCCTTCTGCCGGAGGGGAGTAGCTGGAACAGAGAGTATCCAGGGTGCGAGGAATCGTCCGCAATCTTCCTCGCTCGCTTCAGGGTCCTCAAAGTGTGCAGGTCCTCAAGGGTTGGTAGATTACAGCCAATCACCTTCTCAGCAGTGCGGATGATACGCTGCAGTCTGCTCTTGTCTTTGGCAGTTGCAGCAGCGTACCAGACGGTGATGGAGGAGGTGAGGATGGACTGAATGATAGCTGTATAGAAGCACACCATCATTGTCTTTGGTTCCGAATGGCAATTTCTCACAACCAAGGCAAGATGCCTCGTAAAATTCTGGTGATAAGTGTCACGTGCAGCTGATGTATCATCATTGCTCATGATGTCTCGTTCGTTAGCTACATCCAAAATGCATTCATTAAAGAATTAAAGTGCAGTTCACAAGGGGCATTAATAACTTTCATCCGGGTAATGAGTAGCACGGCATCTCTATAGATTCGTGAATTGCTCACTATCTCTATAGATTTGTATCTGTCCTATAGATAATTATCCAAGTGTAGTGTAATAGCGCCGGCTGGTGGACAGCAGCGGCAACTGTGGTGGACAGACAGCGCACACGCCGGTGAGGGCGTGCACGGGGTGTGGGCAGGGCGGAGGAACTGGGGCAAGGGTCACGGAGGATCACATTCGGAGGCCCCTGGAACCTGCTAGCGAGTTCGAGAAGGGAGGCGCGGTCAGGGCGGAGCCAGGCCGCGCTGGGGAGCATAAAAGGAGCCGAAAGCAGGGGGGGGGGGGGCTCGTGGCTGCCGGTTCTAGGAGTGGACTCGTCTCGTTGTCGCTCTCATCTCGTCGCCGTCGTCGCTGCCATCTTCGCTAGATGTTGCGCTCGAAGGAGAGTAGTTGGCTATCTCAGTCAGTGCCGTCAGTGTTTGACGGCTAGGGTTGTGTACAGGCGAGGTTGAGCTACAGTGGAGAGTGTGTGGACGAGACAGTGAAGTTGTTAATGAAGAAAGTCCCTCCTAGAAACTTTGTCTCTGAATCGTTGACACTACACAAGCAAAAATAAACTGTGGAAAATTTGCACGATATTGGGAAAAAATATCTTGTCAGACGAAGGAAGCGCATGAGGAAACTCATGGCTGTGAACCGAACCGACGGTGGATTGCTCCATCCTCGCCACCCACGACCAATCGCCCATTGTGCACCCGGCAATGTGGCCACTGGTCCAACTGCAGTCCCAAACCCAGAGAGGATGGGTCTCAGTCAGCTCGGGTTTGATTCTATTATTATAAACACACGTCCACACGGTCCGCGTAAAATCGCATGAAGTGACGAGGTTGGCGCGACAGACACCGTGGCGCATGGAATGAACCGAGGCCCCGTGGCCTCACTTCGCCTCTCACCCTCTGCAGTGTCACCGCCTGCACGCTCCACCCCCTCTGGGCAGCTGCGCTCACCTTGAGGCGGTCCCCGACTCGACGGAAGTCGGCGAGCTGCAGCCAGCAGGTCTTGAGCGAGCAGGAGCCCGACACGCCGTGGCACTTGCACGCGACGTCCGCTAGGCTGTACACCGCCTGCAGTGCCACGCCGTGATCACCACAGCCGTCACCACCAACATCATCATCACCACCACCACCATCATCATTACCATCATCACCACCAACATCATCATCACCACCACCACCAAGATCATTATCACCACCACCGCCATCATCACCACTATCAGCACCAACATCACCATAATTACCACGAACACCACCATCACCACCACCATTGCTATCCCCAACACCATTATCACTACCACTACCAACATCACCACCATCATCACCATCACCACCCCCATCATCACTACCGCCATCATCACCACCACCATCATCATCACCACCACCATCATCACCACCTTAATTACCACCATCACCACCACCAACAGCATCATCACCATCCCCACCACAATTACCACCACCATCTTCACCACCACAATTACCACCACCATCTTCACCACCATAATTATCACCACCATCTTCACCACCATAATTACCACCATCATCATCACTACCATCACCACCGCCAGCCCCGTTTTTCGCAGTCCTGATCCAGTGGTGGAAATTCCGCATTCCCCGTTGAGTTGTTAAGAATTGTCGCCTCTACTGGCAGCAAATGTGAGCTCGTTTACATGCAACACGGGCTAAACAAATGTGTGCATATGAGTCGATACATTCGATGCATCGTTAAACCCCCACCTAAAAGAGCCGGGGATCTGCGTGTCGGCAGCGAGCCGTGCCGCGGTTTGCGTGGCAGGGCGGGGGGGGGGCATTGTCCCATTGCACCTCCCCAGCCCCACAACTCGTCACAGCCCTCGCGACCCCCCAGTCAACGTGGCACATTGGGCTAACGCTGAGCTAACGACGTTGGGCCGACGTTTCTAACCACGTGCCAGCGTTGGCCCAACGTTTGCATGTTACTGGGGTTTGGGAGCCGCGGAGCAGTTGCACCGCCTGCGCACCTCAACAGCCACGTCACTCATAATCCTGCCACTCACCCACCCACTCACCCACCCACACACTCACCTACCTACACACTCACCCACCCACTCACTCACCTACCTACACCCACCCATTCAGCCACTCATTCATCCAGCCACCAACCCATTCAACCACCCACCCATTCAACCACACACTCACCTACCTACACACTCACCCACCCACTCACCCACCCACACGCTCACCCACCCACACACTCACCCACTCACCCACTCACACACTCACCCACCCACACTCACCCACCCACCTACACACTCACCCACTCACCCACTCGCCCACCCACCCACTCACCCACCCACACACTCACCCACCCACACACTCACCCACCTACTCACCCACCCACTCACCCACCCACGCACCCATTCACTCACCCACCCACACACTCACCCACTCACCCACCTACTCACCCGCCGGCCGGCTTCGTTGTTGTGCAGATTCATGACGGCGCGCGCGTACTCTGGAGACGATCGTCCGCCACCACCGCCGCCACCGGCTCCTCCTCCACCTCCTCCCCGCTCGCGTTCGCGCGCGTCCACGAACTCCCTGGCGAAGCGGTAGCCGTACTCGGCGTTGTCGCCGCAGCCGCCCCACAGCCAGTCGCGGGGCAGCGCCGCGGGTCGCGCCGCGCGGCTGCAGCCGCACGTGGCCAGGTCGCCCTCGCGGCACGCGCGCGACACCGCGTGCGCAACGCCCGCCGACGACACCGCGAACGCGAAGGCGGCCTCGCGCGAACCTGCACCGCCACCACATCAACAACAACAACAACAGCCGGTGACGGCGCCAAGGCGCCTGTGCCAGGCTAGGTGCACTTTGAGGATGTCGGCGTGGAAGTGCGGAAGGCTCTCGCTGCCGGCAGGTCACAGGACAGACCCAGCGGGTGCCACGGGTTGACGGAGATGACTGGCAGATGCACCACCTGTGCTCCCTACTGTGCCAACTTGCTGCGTCCAATACCACCACCACCACCAAAGAACACCCCTACAGACGTTAACAGACCGGTGGGGGCCCAAGTGGGCATGGTGGGTGACCAGCACCACGCCTGGTAGCCTTTGTCTCCACAGCTGATGTTTTACACACCAGGTACTCATTTGAGGCTGAGTCGACCTAGGGGAGGCCCGGAACCGGTTGAGATGATCGTCACCGGTGATGGCTGTGAGCGAAAATCGAAGTCGTGCCGCTGGGTTCGTAGCAAAGTCCGCTCACTACCACTACACTACCACTACACTACCACTATACTACCACTAACTACCACTAACTACCACTATACTACCGCTAACTACCGCTAACTACCACTACACTGCCGCTAACTACCACTACACTACCGCTAACTACCGCTAACTACCACTACACTATCGCTAACTACCACTACACTACCGCTAACTACCACTACACTACCACTACACTACCACTAACTACCACTACACTACCACTACACTACCACTACACACTACCACTAACTACCACTACACACTACCACTAACTACCACTACACACTACCACTAACTACCACTACACTACCACTACACTACCACTACACACTACCACTAACTACCACTACACTACCACTACACTACCGCTAACTACCACTACACTACCGCTAACTACCACTACACTACCACTACACTACCACTACACTACCGCTAACTACCACTAATTACCACTAACTACCACTACACTACCGCTAACTACCGCTAACTACCACTACACTACCACTACACTACCGCTAACTACCACTGCACTACCACTACACTACACTATCACTACACTACCGCTAACTACCGCTAACTACCATTAACTACCACTAACTACCACTAACTACCGCCCTACGCACGCACGTGCCAAGCACACATCACGAAGCGAGCCTCTTACACACCAAAAAAAAGAGAGAGTTGTAATTGTTTATCGAAGTCAGGTAACCCAAGAGGTTAACACAAATGCAGATTATCCGATACATGCCCTCGCAAACGGCGTGCCTTGGAAATTGTTACCATGTCGCGCAGCACGTGGGAATGGTTTGGCGAGGGCGGGCAGGGAGGGGGTGATCGCTGGCTCCTGCTTCCGAAAGAGGTCCTGCATGTCCCCAGCCAGTGCCGGATTATCCCAGGAGCAAAAGTAGCTGCATATGTAGCTACGGGCCCCGCACTTTCAGGCTATTAATTCCGGTTCAGTGATTCTGCACTTGCTCTATTACTATAGCACTATACTGCCTTCGACTTTCATGAACGACTGGGTGTTTAAGGTTAGCAATTTGTATTATTATCTGGCTCAATAGCAAATGAAAAAAAAAACACAATTACTTTACTATGCAAGTAAAAAAAATTTGTGTTTGAATATTTAAGTGCTTTCTTTTTTTAGGGCCCCTCTTTAACATCTGCTGCAGGTACGTTGTGTTTACGTGACAGGCCTTACTAATTGGCCGTTTTCGGGTGGTGGCAGGTTTAACGACACACTCATATTGACGCCATCTAACCCCCCCCCCCCCCGAAAAAAGACCCCCTCCATTACGGTTCCTTAGACCTCCGCTGCGAAAATTTCCCGCAGAGGGGGAAACGGCGGTGATCATGGGACGCAGGACTACAGAAGTTTCATACCGGGACATCCAAATTGTCATTGTACCCATTGGGTATATGCATGTGATGTGTGTGTGTGTTCTGTAATTCCCGCTCGCGGCCAACACCGGTGACGATTATCTGAACCGGTCATCGGTCTCCCCTCGGTCGATCTAACCTTCAATGGGTACCTGGTGCGATTGTAAACATCGCCACTGGGGAGACAAAGGCGGCCGGGCGTGGTGCTGGCCACCCACCCCCTCGTGTGCCGTGCCGGCCTTCATAGGTACTCGCTAACAGCACTTGCCCCGACAGTCTGTACAGGCTGTACGGGGGATCTTTGTCTTTGTGTATTCTGTATATCCAATATCCCATATGGCTAAATGCTCTCTCCGCGGCACGCAATGTACTCGCTACGGCGGCACCTTTGACGGCGTCTCTCTGACGATCGCAGCCCTGGCAGTGGCTGTCATCTGTTTGCTGTAAAGGGTTGGATGGATGATGAATGGGCTGCAATGCCCGGCTTTCTCCCTTGACCTTGTCCGAACGCGCAAATGTTACGCACTCTCTCTGGTATTCGCTCAATGTCGATTGCTCTGCAGATTCGCAGATGGCAGTGAGGTGGTGATGTGGGGAGCGGTGGCGCAATGGTCAGCGCGCTGCACTACGAACCCGGCGAACCGAGTTTGGTTCCCGCTCATTACCAATAACCGTGGCGAATATTTGAAACGGTCCTAAGCCTTCCCTAGGTCGACTTGGTCTGAAATCTGTAGCTGGTGCGGTATTTAGTAAACATTGCCACTGGGGAGACAAAGGCGGACGGGCGTAGTGCCGGCCGGCCACCCCCTCGTGTGCCGTGCCAGGCTTCATAGGTTGCTCGCTAACAGCACTTGCCCCAACAGTCGGCTAAGGCTATACGGGGGGTCTTTGTCTTTAGTGGTGGTAGCCAAGCCGTCAGCTCTCTCCGTGACACGTTTCGTTTTTCTCTGCCCTCCAGGTCAGGTCACGCACTCTCAGAAAGTGTGGACATTTGTGTTTGTTTATAAGAGGTTGAGGGTATATTGCTCATGGTTATACCGACTACTTTGGGGTTCTGGAGTTGTACGCAGAATAACAAAAACAGTTTACAATACAGTACTGTTCTATATTTCCAATAGATGGAGTGAGTTGGGGTTTACTTAAGGACTTCCATATTTCCATTTTGACCTCTGGGTGTATACATGTGTCTATGGATATAGGTGCGTGCGCTGTACAATATGGCTCAGACATTGGTACTGCCACCACTTCTAGGATGTGGAAGAGTAGACCAAAATACCCTTGATGGGGTCTCTCCACAGCTGCCTCGAGCGGAGGCCGTACCGCCGGCAGTGGCGTGAAAAGGCCATTGCAGGGCCGCGCCTTTAGTGTCGATCGCAACCGAGTGGTGGCGCGGTCGATGCAGTGCTGGGCTGTGCACACCGAGGTGCAATGCCTGGCCATGGCTGACGTGAGTGGTGGGCCATATCCGAGCTCATCCTGGGCACCCCCCCCCCTGCCACCCGACTTTCGCCAACCCTACGCTGACCTATGGTGAAGTAGGGTCAAACAATCAAACAACCCCCACAACCGATACGGCGCGGGGGGGAATCATCCAGCAGTGGATTTATAAAGCTGTAAATTAATATGTTTTTTTTTTATCACCGTGTGTCTTTAAAGTGGTATGGTCATGCGTAACTTATGTTGCGGCAAGGTGCTGTGACGTATAATAATCATGTGATGGTTTAGCCGTAACGTTTAATATTCTATACTCGTTGGTTCTTTCGGTAAAGTCACGTAGGTAGAAAGATAAAATAAAAAATATATATATACATCACAATTATTGTGATGTATATACCTACCTGACTTTACCGAAATAACCAAAGAGTATAGATTCCTGCAGTCACGAAAGCTTCAAATTAAGGTTTAATATCCTGATCGTGCGTGATGTTTACTTTTTTCACATTGACTTCTTGTATCGTCCTTATGGTCCGGGTCTCTCTTCAAAAGGGGACTCAAAAATGCATTTGCATCATCGTCACCATCAGCCGCGATCAATCCACTGCCTGGACTCGAACCGATTCCATCGTCGGCTCCATCTCCCCCCCCCGGCGGTCATCCCCTCCGTCACGTTCCGTCCTTGGGCTGCCGTGCCGTCTGTATTCCTCACCAACGTCCCTTCCGGCCAAGCCACTCAATCTTTGTTTTCCCTTTGAAGCAGCAGTCCCAACGACGTCTTTAAACGAGCGTGTGCTCTCTAGACCGCGTCTATCCCCTTTCTGCCTCCCAATGTAATCCCGCGCGTGTGCCTCTCTCCACGCTTCAGCTGTTGCTCCACCTTCTTGCCCGTGTTTCCTGATCCATCGGGGAATACAAGGGAATGCATGGAGGTGTAATTGTTCCTCCTCGAACTAATTGCAATGTCACCTCCCAAAATCTCTCCCACCTTCATTGCATATCTACACACCCAGGTTTGAATCCTGACCATGATACAACCTCAAGTTCACTGGCATATGATAACATCAACTGGGAGTGGGCCTCCCCTAGATCACCTCAGCCTTAAATTAATGGCCTTGTATCACAGTGTGATCGTGAACATAAGCAGTGGGTTGAGCAGACACGTACGTGTGTGTGTGTGTGAGAGTGTGTCTGTGTGTGTGTGCGTGTGTATGGTGTGTCTGTGTGTGTGTGTGTGCGTGTGTGTGTGTGCATGTGAGTGTGTGTGGTGTGTGTGTGGTGTGTGTGTGTGTGAGTGTGTGTGGTGTGTGTGGTGTGTGTGTGAGTGTGTGTGTGCGTGTGAGTGTGTGTGGTGTGTGTGGTGTGTGTGGTGTGTGTGTGAGTGTGTGAGTGTGTGTGTGAGTGTGTGTGGTGTGTGTGTGTCTGTGTGTGTGTGAGTGTGTGTCTGTGTGTTTGTGTGGTGAGTGTGTGTCTGGTGTGTGTGTGCATGCGAGTGTGAGTGTGTGTGGTGTGTGTAGTGTGTGTCTGTGTGTGTGAGAGTGTGTCTGTATGTGTGAGTGTGTGTGGTGTGTGCGCGTGCATAGTGCCAGTCACTGGCCACTCCCACCGCAACCTTAATAGGTGCTCGCTAACAGCAGCATTGTCTCCCCTCCTATTTAAAGATCTGGATTTTGTTAAACTGTAACAGTTCATACAAAACAGAGTTTGTAATATAGTCCATTAATTGTTATGTGGTAGTTAATGCAACATGTGCGATTAACTACGCAATTATCTCTGTCAATCCCAATCAGACTTGCGAGAACTTCCGGAAATGTTTTGATATTTTTTGGGGGGTTGTTATTTTTTTTAAAATGTACATTACACACGGCGTGCTCGTGTTTAATGCCTTCCACGTGCGCCAAGAAGCAGAAGCGGCGGCGGGCACGGTATGACTTTTGAAACAAGGTGGAAAAACACGAATATGCATGGAATATTGTAACGCTTTGAAAAAATAGCGTGGTGCTTGGCACTTTATATACATATATTTTTTAATGAATGCAGGTTATTACCTGCCGCGACATATGGATCAGAGACACGGGCATTAACGCATGAGAACGGAAATCTGTAAAAAAAGGAGCTTTATAGCCCATCGGATTCTTCCAGTATAAATATTCTGATTCTGCAAAGTTATTGGGTTTTTTTGGACTGTTTGCACTGCTTTGAAAAAAATGAAAAAAATTGAACAACAACAACAAAATGCACAAAGAAGAAAGCACGAAGAGAGGGACACTTGCGATTATACTGAGACCCAGCAAGACAACGCACATGCATTAGAGAGCATACACAGGCGAAGGACATGCATTTGACTGTCAAGAAAAGTGTCTCTCTCTCCGAGACAACACACCCAGAGCCTGGCCTCGGTGTTTCCGACACGGTCACGATGGGCCACCTGCCACCCACCTCCCCACAGCCCCGCCCCTGACTGACCGCCCTGGGGCCCACCTAGCCAGCTGGCTGCTGGGTGGAGCGAGCGGATCGCAATGGCAAGGTTGTGAGTTCAAATCCGGGTTTTGGAGGGTGGAGGTGACTCAGCTAATCATGCTTCGGGGGTCGATACAATGAGCAACCCCTTTGTAAGGAAGGCAAAAGTAGTTATCCTGTGGATCGACGATTCACTGCCTAAGGAATGTGGAATTTCAACCACTCGCTCGGGGCTAGGGTTGCCACGTCATCCCCCAGACCCCACCAGGACGTGTTTCTCAGTCCACAGACTGACATAACGTCCCACACGAGACTGTCCGGTGCCCACATCTCGGTACGCATCAATTCCTGCCACCCGAACACATTCGGCGCCCAACACCCAGAGCGTCCGGGTCAAACCAGGTCAGCTGACAGCCCTACCCGGGAGCGGTCAACAGGAGGTGACCCCCCCCTCCCTCCGCCTCACTGCGTGCATGAGCATGAGACGCTCCGTGTGACTGGGACGCGTACCTGACTGAGCCACGGGTCCAAAGACCGAGTCGGCGCCGAGAGCGGTGCAGTTCCATCGCCGAGATCGGAACTGGTGCTGGCATTCTCTGAGGGCGAGGCGGGCACCCTCGCCGATGTGCGCCACGTGGTCCTGGTACAGGTGGCAGAGCTTGCGCTGCCCGGGGGACAGGCCGGGCGCCGAGGCGCACAGCGGCTGCGCACCGATCATCGGAGACTCGGAGCGGTCAGGGGCCCTCAGGGCCAGCGACCTGCGGCACGAGCAGACGGGGGGGGGGGGGGGGGTAACGAGGTGAGGGAGGAGGAGGGAGGGGGAGTTTGAGGGTGGGTGTAGCCGTTGTTGTGATGGTGATCAGCAACATCATCAGCGGCAGTATCAGCAGCATCACCAGCGTGGCCATCATTATCGACATCGACAGCATTAAGTCAGTTGCAGTAGCAACTGACTTAATGATCATCATGATTGCCGTCGTCATCATCGTCAACAGCAGCATCAGCAGCATACAATACTGCAACTACGTCTGCTTCACAATTGGACGTTCCGGGTCCGTGACGCCGCTCGATATGCCACCGTGTGCCGCCGTCGGCGTCCGAATTGGCCAAAGTTGGAAAAATAAAATTGTGCCAGAAAATGATTCGATTGGGGGATTATCAGCAGCAGGAGCGGCAATAATCCCCCCCCCCTCCCCTGCTGCGACAAACCTGACAGCACCCTCCTGCGAAAGAGTCACACGAGTCGGCGAGGCTCCCCCGGGTTAAACAAAGCGCAACAACAACACCAACAATCATAACGAGCGTAAGCGATGGCGACGGCTTTGGTGGGATGCCTTCGTCCAGCAGTGGAGTGAACATGGCTGCAACAAGGACACAGGTTTTGTGTGTTGCTTTGTTGCGTTTCTCCCCGCGTCGAATTGTTTCCCCCAGAAATTACGTTCGGCGTCAAGCGGAAAGCGGCCGCGCATTGTAGGCCTCCGTTCGGCCAATGAAATCCGAGTCTCGGGTTACTAATCACGACGACGGGTGACGTCGACGACAGGGCTTAATGGGATCTTGGGTGCGCAGTCAAACATTGCAGAGCGCTGAACGCCCGTAGCTGTACGGCGGAATGCACTTGTGATTGCTACAGCGAACGTAATCATCACCAGCATCATCAGCGGCAGACGTCGTAGTCGTATCAAGAAGCATTCAGCATCAGTAAACATCATTGCCATCATGAACTACAGCAGCGACAGCAGCAGCTGATCCATCATCAGCATCGGTATTGTCATCATCAGCACATAGATCCACAGCCGTATGTCGATACACTATATACCAAAGGGCTTTATATTCATCGCTGCCATCATCAGCTACATGAGCAGATAATCCACCATCAGCATCATAATCAGCATCAGTATCGGAAATTATCATCATCAGCACATAGGTCCACACCCGTATGTCGATACAAAAAGGCTTTATTTCAGCCGGAGCTGTCCGGGGCTGAACTCCGGAAAAATGTTGTATTCGTCCGTCCCGCCCCCTCGACTGCCGAGGTTGGAAGGGGTTGAGGAAAGGGTGGGGGGTTGGGGGGGAGTCCGAGGGGTTTGGGTTTGAGGGACCCCGGATAATATTCCACGCATAATTAAGCCCTGATACGCATTCAAAGGCACAAAGGCATAGGTCCCCCGTATAGCCTCAACAGAATATCGGGGCAAGTGCTGTTAGCGAGTAGCACCTATCAAGGACGCGGCACCGTACACGAGGGGATGGGTGGCCAGCACCACGCCCGGCCGCCTATGTCTCCCCAAGGCCGATCGTTCACACACCGCATCAGGTATACAGTACTCATTTAAGACTGAGTCGACCTAGGGAATTCCCATGAGGCTTTGCGTTCTTGATAAATCTCCCGTATCACAGTTGTACACATGTTCCACACTATGCACACACGCAGTACATTTACACAGTCCCATTGGCGGGCAGTGGTGGTGCATTGCGCCATGAACACGAGCGGACGGACGGAGCCGCGTTCGATTCCCGACCAACGTTAGCAACGAACGATGTCAGCTGCTGCCGCCCGCGTGGTGAAGTATGGTCAAAGCCATCCAGCAGTGGACCGTAAACGATGATTATTACGACGCTCATTTCTCAAACCGAGATCGAATGTCCCCCCCCCCCCACCCCTTGGGCCGCTTGAAAACGAACGCGCTCCCGTGTGCCGCTGTGAAACACAATCAAGACGGACGCGGGCGTACATCACGATACCGTGATGTACAAATACAATCGCGTTCTCCTGAGACGCGTGTTGCCGATGTATTTCGCCGTGTAAACGAGACGGCATCTGCTAGTGCAATAATCGTTCAGAAAGTCTGACCGGAGTTTTAGCGATCTATATATGTGTGTGCATGCCTACCGGCGCCGCGGGGATTTAGTCAGACTTTCCTGATACCTTCCCCCTACTCAGTATTCATCGCGGCTACGACATGGATAGGAAACGTGAACACTGACAAAGAAAATGTGGACGTGGGGGGCGGGTGTTGGCCACATATTCCCAATTCTTTTGCCTCAAAACTAAAAAAATGCGCCACACAATTCAGCTCTTTTGAGTTGGTGGTCTGGTCAAGGCTGAGCGATTTTCGAACGCGCACTTTTCTGCGCATCTTGTGCGCTGATGAATATAAAGAACACGGAATAAAAACTGAAAAGTGCGCAATGTAAATGTGTCATCGTCCACACTCTTCGACTACCATTCTGCAGACCACAACAGCTCACCCACTCGCTTACTCATCCACTCGCTCGCCCGTCCACTCGCTCGCTCGTCCGCTCGCTCGACCGTCCGCTCGCTCGCCCGTCCGCTCGCCCGTCCACTCGCTCGCCCGTCCACTCGCTCGCCCGTCCACTCGCTCGTCCGTCCACTCGCTCGCTCATCCACTCGCTCACTCACTCGCTCACTCATCCACTCGCTCACGCATTCACTCGCTCGCCCATCATCCGGAACGCGTCCAACTAGCGTTTCACACCCGGCAAGCTAAGCAGGTATTTATTGGGCCAGGGAAGCGCTCGGAACGGTGATCACCATGCGTGTAACGTACAGATCCCGTCGGGCAGAAACCTGCACTGTTGGTCGGTGCCCCACCCGCCTTCGCCAACCCGCAAAGACCAGCGTCGTGAAGCATGGTCATATATCCCACACGGCCTATGAGGAGGAGGCCTTCATCCAGCAGCAGATTGATCATGGCTGCTGCTGCTGATGATGATTGTTTTATACATGTGCTCCTGTACCGTTGTGGAAGCGAAACCGGTCAACCTGTGCTGAGAGGGAGGTCGCTTCTTCTCCTCTGCTGCCCCCACTGTCTGGAGCTCTCTCCACCCAGACCTCCCTGCGCCTGTTCAAGTCTAGGCTCAAGGACTTTGCTCGTCCCCTCTGCCTGTGACTGCCTCCCTGGCCAGACTATAAATGCCCGCTGCGCCTTGGGATGCGGTTGCCTATCAACGTTAGACACGTCCAGGATGTAGTGCCACGTTAATTGTAGATCATATTTGAGTTAAAACAGCTTCCATTTAAATTCACGTGAACTAAAATTGTAACTATAGAATTTTTTCTGTAAAATATTGCTCATCATATTTCTATAGTTACAAACACAAGACTAAATGTATACATGTCTTGCCCTATACCACATGTGTTATGCGTAATATGTACGCGTGTTTGTGTGAGTATTGTGGGGAGCGGTGGCGCAGTGGTTAGTTCACTGCGCTCCAAACCTGGTCACGCCCAGCTCCATTCGCACTCACGATCAATATCCGTGGCGAATACTCGAACCGGTGCTGGGCCTCCAGCCTCGGAATTGAGTACCTGGTGCGGTTGGTAAATATCAGCACGGGGAAGACAAATGCGGCCGGGCATGATCAATCCACTGCTGGATGAAGGCCTCCGCAATCGTTCACTGTGGAGCCTTGATAGACTTAGTGTTGCTACTGAATCATGTGTCAGTCAGCATTACATTTGTTTATCACAAATGCATACGTACAAATGACATATTTAATACTCTGTATCATAAATTGTGTATGTTATCTATAATATATAATCGCGTATCGGCAATATTAAGCATGGCCAAAACACACATATAAATAGGTTATTATAGAGACGGTGCTGTGTATATGTATATGTTTCGTTGTACATACTCGTAGGTGATGAATTCATATCGCGTTCACAATCACATGCGCGTGCATGATCACATCTTGATTGCAGCCGTGCCATTTCCCCGCACAAGTTATCGCCGAGTCTCAAGTTGCTCGTATCCAAGAGGGTCCTGCCCCAATTTTTGGGGGGACGTATGAACCGATTAATTGTTCAACGAATATTTAAGGCGGGAGAGAAACCCCAAGCGGGGGAGAAACGCGCACGCCTACCACGTCCATCGCAACAAGCCGACAGCGCCGCGCTATGCCACTGCTGGATGAATACGCCAACGTCGTTTGACGGACACATCATCGCGACAGCAGCCTGCAGTGTGGGTTGGGCAATGTGCTGCTGCTGCTGTTGTTGTTGTTGCTGGCACCAATGATCCGTTCAAATATCACTCGCCACTGATGTTAGCCGTGCGCGGGCCCAAAAAGAAATAACTCGATTCTCCGGTCACGGCTAACATCAGTGGTGAGTTATGTATGTGGACTTCTACGGGGATTTTTTTTGTATTATAATATTATTGTACCATGTACATAGTTGTTATTACTCTCTGAAATTATACATGCGCAGAATAAGGCTACCGCTCCCCGCGTACAAATTGATATTACATACGTATATATATGTACACACGAAGATGTGACACAGACAATGATCTCCCCGTGTAGCCTTCAGCAGACTGTTGGGGCAAGCGCTGTTAGCGAGCACCTATTAAAGCCGGCAGGGAATAACACGAGGGGGGCGAGTGGGCACACAACCGCACCCGGCCGCCTTTGTCTCCCGAATGGCGATGCTTAAATCACCGCACCAGTTACTCATTCAAGACCGAGTCGACCCAGCGGATGCCCAGGACAGATTAGAATATTCTGCCACTGCTATTGGACGTGAGCGGGGAAATCGAAATGGGGTTCGTGGCCACGTCGCGTAGCGCGCTTACCACTTGCGTCCCACAGCTCCCAGGACACTCGGGAAACACCCGCGCGGGCAGAGTGTGCGAGAGGGATTATGTAATAGTAATCATGTTCTCATCCCGGATTAGATGCTCTAAGCACGGCTATTGCGATACGGGCCCATGGGGATTGTGCTTTGTGGTGG